TCTTGGATAAGTGCAATTGCATAGTAAGCTACATTGTATCCCGAGGGATGTTCTGTTTTTCATAATTCAATTGTTCCTGGTTCATAAGGCCAAAAAGAGTGGCAAAATCAACAATTACGGGGCAATGGCGCATCTGGGAGCGCGTCAGACTGAAGATCTGGAGGTGGCCGGTTCAAGCCCGGCTTGCCCCATTCCTTTTTTCCTCAATTAATTTTTGATGTGGGCGCCGTATCTTCCGTTATACACCAGTTGATAGCTCAACTTGAGATTGAGATTGTATTTATAGGATAGGTGACGTCACGGCAACCTTATCAGCGCGTCTTTGTCAGCCGAGTTCAGTGCCTGGCTCTGCAGGCACCAATCACCTGATGAATGATGGGCTCTGCCGGGTCTTTCTCCGCACTGCAAGCCTCCCATCGCTCCAACTCTCGTTTCCCACCCCAATTTTTCCTGTTTCGTCTGTCCATGTTCCATCTGTTGAGCCATCGATCTCCCAGTATCTCTGAGTGCTTCTTGTTCCCTGATTGAGTCGGACTTTCTGTCCGACTGTGCCTTTCCTTTTTACCCATCATGTCTGCCGTTGCTTCGTCGGCCGTCAACTCTCAGGGTCAGAGCGCTCGTCAGTCAACGCGCCAGACGAGGACGAACCCATCTCGCACGTCAAAGACATTAGGCCGCTCGTCCTTCGCTTATGGTCATGGCTCGATGACGGATACGCCTTCTGCGACCCCTGTTGCTCATGGCTTCTACCCTGCTCTCACGCATTTCACGGACGCCATTACGGCCCTCCCGAGGGAATTCCGTCGTCATAACTCGTTGTTGAAGGAGGTGGATGCGAAGGCCTGGGCCCTCGAGGATAATCTGCTGCAATTGCTGAAGTCTGCTTCTGAATCTCAGCCTGTGCCGTACCCCTCTACTCCGGTAGGTAGTTCTCTGCTTGGAGCCCTCGTTGTGGGTCATACAGTGGTCTGCGGGGATAAGCTATCTACAATAGTGGTAGTTGTGCCTGTGCTGACGAGTTATCGTGTTTAGATCCCCGAATCTCAGGAAAGCAAAGACCGCCGGATCCTGTTCCATCGTGTGCGCCATACGCTTACGGACCTGATGATGACCGCGGATGAGAAAAACCACGTTATATCGAATGCGAACGATGAATTGGACCGACAGCTCACACGTCTTGATTCTATCTTCCCGTTCATCGCGGGGGAGATCAGCGATGAGGCTCGTCTAGGAAGTCTCACTCACTGGGCTTACACGAATAGAAACGCCCCCAAGACAAATACTAATGAACGTCCTCGTCGAGAGGCCGCATCTACTAAGGAATTGGCGCATGCGATCCATGAGGCGGAGGCTGCTTCTCGGAGCGAGGCTAGGCGCGAAGCTGTCATCGCGCGTAGGCAGCGTCGCACGCATGCAGATTCGGATCTGGACGATGTACGTGCTGGCGGGGCTCGCAAAGGACAATCTAGTAAATCTCGCGGGGGTGCAGGTGCAGGTGATCAGGCCGGACATGGTCAGGGAAATACTGGGTCGGGCCAGGCCAAGCGGCGCAAGGTTGAGCGGCCCCCACCTGTGGAGGCTGGTGCTGCGATGGAGCGTACTGCTAGCAGCGCTAGTACTTCGAGGCAGGCTGCATCGAAGGATCCCGCTGAAGCTACGAAGAAGAGGCGGGCACCCAACGCGAATGCGGCTGCTCGGAAGAGGTATGTTAGACTTCGATTGCTTTGGGTATATAACCTAACAGATGTAGCAGAAACAACACCAATGCATCTGCAGTTGACTCTCCGGTTCTGGCTCCGTCGCCTGTCGTCGCTGCTGCGGCTATTCCACGAAGCGCTGTCAGTCCTGGACCTGGTGCAGTGCGACCGCAGACTTCTCGCGCGCAGCAGAATTCCGGACAAGCAAACAATGGTCGTCAGAGACCTTCATCTTCTGCGTCGAATCGCGTGACCAGCAATGGTACGTTTCAGCCATATTCAATCTATTCAGACCGATCTAACCAAATAACAACTTCAGGCAAAGCTACAGAACCTAAAACCACAACCAAAGAGACGACATCCAAAACCGAAGCTACCCCTACTTCGAATCCAGATACCCAACGAGAAACCGAAGAGCCAACCGCAGACATTTCTAAGCTCCCACCTCCTATCAGCACTAAACGTGAAGACACCGACGGCAAACCCGCGCCATCCATCGAACCCGGCGAAGTCCCCGTACCGCCAGTGTCGAATCCACCCCCCAAGGGCCGATCATCGAAGACATCCACTCCGGTACTACCCACCTTCTCCGAGCCGACCCAGCGCGTACGACCTACCCGAAGCACGGATCCGGCACCAGCCAAGCGGTCCCACAAGAAGACCACCAGCGTACCAGTGGTGCAAGCGCGGGCCGTCTCAGAAGAGGAAGAGTCTCTTCACGAGGGTGATGATGAAGATGAGGACGGTGAACCCAGATACTGCTACTGCAATGAGATCAGTTTCGGCGAGATGGTGGCGTGTGATAATGACGCTTGTCCTCGCGAGTGGTTCCACTTGTCGTGCGTTGGGTTGACGAAGCCGCCTGGGAAGAATGGTGAGTCTATGGCCTTATATTTGTGTGGATTTGAGAGATGCACATTGCTAACGTGACACTAGTCAAATGGTACTGCAATGAGTGTAAGGAGAGTATGCGACGGAGTCGAAGTGGGCGTTGAGGGAGCAGAGCAGGACGAAGCAAAACAAAACAGGTTACCGGAGTTATGGATATTGGAATGGTGTTTCGCTCTCATGAATGTACATACGTAGAGTAGACAATAAGATGGTTGTCTGCATTTTGACTTTTCACATACAGAATGTAAGGACCTGTGATATCAACATCGACCCTCATCTTGCAGCCTTCTCTTCACACCTACTTGGCTATGAACTGCCCTTCTACAAATATACACAAGGGTGGACTTAGTATTCTCATCGATAACGGCGAGCAAAGCCCCTTTCTATGTATACGCCTACTAGTATCAAGCCACGGAAGCTTTTCAACCAGTCAGCGAGTTGAATCACTAGTAGTAGATATAGTATGCGCCGCACCAACTGAACTTGGGGGACGTGGTCCGTAATTATGTAGCAATACAACTCCCATAACCCTGTTTTGGCCCTTATATATGTTTACTAGAGAGGAATGCTGTTATGCATGGACGTCCGCGCTCTACAATATTGCGATGTCAGACACGTTTAGCAGTATCAAAAGAATCCCTGGATCATTCTTGGAGGAGCAAATCACATCCTGGTCCTTATTTCTTTGCTATTTCCGCAAAGTGCCACGATATAAAAGATCTGGCCGACACTTGGTACTGCTAGAGTAGTGACCAGAGCAGACGACTTGAACTTCCTCAGGAACATCGCATTTTAGCTTCAGATAAAGACCCACCCCCCAGACAGCTTCGTCAGGTTCAAGTCATCGGGATCCTGCAATCGAGCCATCTATTGAGTTAATGAAGTCGGCTTAGCGCTGGTTGGTCGATGCCGATGCAAGAATGGGGATCATGGGCCGGGCCTAGTATATTAGTATCTCACTGGGTGGTTGTTTATATTCGAACGCCAAGTACTTAGTAGTCAATTCTGAACGGGAACAGCCATGATGATGCTAGGAAACATAAACTAAAGATATATGGCGTATCTCTCGTCCATGACTTGGAAGTAGTACCGCTCCCTCTTCCCAGTATACTATGTATGCAGCATGTTCTGTAAAGTATCAATAGTAGTGTCCAGATTAATACTAGTATGACATTGATCGCCGCTTGGATATACTTATGGCCCGCCTTGAATAACCTCCGTCTGGACTTGGGCCAATGATCCTTAGTAACATCAATTGGATGTAGTTGAGATTGCTATATGTCAGTAGTGGTATTTTTAAGCATTTGATATTTTCTTGGAGTTAATAACTTGGGCAAGATAGACTTACGTTAGTTCCCAAGTAGTGGTGCGTGCGTAGTGCGTTTCTACTATCCGCGCCCTCTTACTGTACCGGGTATCTCACTTCTTCATCTACCATACCCTAGATGCATTCTTCAACAAGTCGTCTCGATGGTGTAGTTGGTTATCACGTGGGTCTCATACTACAGTATGACGTGGAAGCTTCAACTTCCATGCGATCCCAAGGCCGGGAGTTCGAACCTCCCTCGGGACAGATTTTTTTGTATCTTTTTTTCTCTCCCCATTTATTGCGTTACAGGATGTGCGGTAGCCCATGCTCGCTTTGTATGTGTTTGTATTATTTTTCTATCTCTTAATCGAAGTTGACTGGGCTCGGCAAATTCATGTTAATAGGACCCGAGTCAGACGTAGCGATGATCGTGGTTATTGCACTGAGTGATTGTATTGAGAATCACGAATAACTTAGATTGGATAGTATATATATTCAGTTGTGGGTCAGCGTAACCTGTACTATCCATAGCAACGGAGATGTAGCCGGGTTAGATTTCTGGAGAAACGGTTGTATATGAGAATAAACCGACTGCAAATATAGTATACCGGCCAACTGTTGGTGCCGTAGCAAAACTGGGTGACCCCACTGCCCAATCCTGCAACGCGATCTCCGATATGATAGCATGTGGTTGTATGGTTGCGCTGATGCGAGCATCACCATGGCGCTTCGTACTCGTACGAAGCGGATTCCTGGCTCGATCAATCGCCTTGCAATATGAACCCTAAAGTTCTTGCCTCAGAGGCAATGCCGCTGGCAGAACGCAGGAGGCCCGTGAGACAGATGCACGACCTGACTGTGGACCATCTGCCTGCTCCTACCGTCCAGTATCGCCGATTTGAGGTACAAAGAGTCATAGTCACTATAGGCTCCCCAGCGATTGGGAATAGCGCCTCGCGCATCCAGTCCGCTGACATGCAACCTGCAGGCCAATCGGATTGACATCCCGGGGCATAAGAGAGGAATAGTGGGTAGCTGTGAAGGCTGCAGTGAGTGGTGGGTTGCAAATAGGACCTGAGATAGAACCGCCCCAAGGTCTTAGATCATACGTGTGCCCATCCATTATAGGCAAGCACCTGCATCTCATTAATAAGACAAAAGTCGCCAGGCTCTTTCTCATCTGGATGGACATCCTGCCAGCGACCAAGCCTTCTGCGAACGAGAAGCTTCTTGAACAATGGCGTTGTAACCCAGCGTCGAATTCTATTCTCCCATAGAGCCAATGTCACATGCTGCAGCGACAGCCAGGCGCCAGTAGGATGAACAGCTTCGTAAGCTGCAGGATTGTAGCCAACGCGGACATTAGGGTTCAGGTAAACCCCAAGCTGCTGGGAAAGAGGGTTATCCGCGTGAATTAAACAACACTCCGAACCCTCGAGGTGTGATTTTGCAAGGGAATCGGAAATGGCACGGAATCGCAATGGAGTAGTGGATATGAAGGGCTCCGCAGGCATAGCAACTATGACGGCCTGTTAATCAATGGTGTAGTATGAAGCAATGTGAGGGAAAGTCACTGACCCATTCCATTCCAGCAACTCTTCACCGGTACTGGAGACATGGAATATAGAGCATTGCGCGACACTTCAGAGCGGAAATAAGGCCATGTCTGCATCACATGCTCATCGCCATTCGCATCACGAAGAGCAAACGTGTCATAGTATAAAGGTGGTTTGGAGAAGTCCAGGGAGCAAGCAGCAGCATAGGAACCGTCATTTGTCTCAAGTAGCGAAATAACATCATCGACCTAGATAGATGGAGCTGTCAATCAACCTAATCTTCCTGCAACTGACACAACCAGTAAAACACACCGTAAACACCACATCATTCAAAAACAACACTTTATCAAACGTTATCCCCCGCCGCGACAGATCCTCCAACGGCCGCAAGGACCAATTGCGCAACCGAGCAAGATAAGATATGCGCCTTAGCTCCTTCTTATGCCGGGGCGTGTCGATCCAGCCCTCACCCGGCGACGCGGAGATCTCATCCTCATGCGTTGTATTCGACAATGTGATGTTGCGCCGCACGCCAAGTCGGTCCAGGTTCGCGTCAAGATCTCGCAGTGCCCCCTTGGTATCATCCCAGCTTCCGCTTTCGAAGATGCTCACGAAGATGTTATCTGGACCGAAGGCTTTCGCTAGTTCTATGATGGCATCGTTCCAATGGCTGCGGAGGATAGCCTCATTGTTCCAATGGGTGCTGGCGATGAACAGTCGTTCTGAGACGAGTGATGGCCGAGTAATGTCATTGGTCCGGTAAGAGGAGGACGAAACGAGGTGATGGATGTACAGTACATCCAGAGCGGTCCAGATGAGGACACAGATCAACAGGCCCCGGAATAGACGCCGGCGGAGGCCAATTCGGCGGGATACCCCACGTCGTGGGATGAAAGTGGCATAGCTGGATTTTACACTCATTGGAGGGGTGGATTGATATGCATGTCATGTGTAAGGGGATGTGTGATGTACGGGCTGGGGGGTTGTGCCTGTAACGGGGTGGTTAGGATGCATTGCAATGAACAGGAGACTGCCAGTGACAGTTCAGAAATGAGGGAGGAGAAGAATGCTAGTTCAACACGAGGCGCTTAACAAGGGGTTAATTGGGAGATTTCATTGGTAATAGAGTAAAACATCCCTGAAGAGGCTGAGTCTTTGTTGGCCGGAGACTTGCGGAGTCGCTCTTCTTGGCCCCTTGATTTAGTATCACGATTCCGGGCTAGGCATCCATCATTGGAAAATTTTAGCCCCTTTAATGGGGAGAATGCTTGGTGTGATGTATCCTGACCCGGATGCGGAATCATTGAACCACTAGAGGATGGAATAAGACCCCAGAAGACTACAAACTAGGTATCCGTATCTGCATCCGTTCCATCATCGATAGCGTTCGAATATGGCCCCAATGCCGGGATCACCCGCTACACATAAGGTTCGAAATGAAATTACCAGCACTCCTATATCGTAATAACTACATGAAACAAACCCTCTAATCTATATTCCCCCACTCCTCCTCAACCTCTGTCCCACAGTATCCCCCGCC